AAAAAAATCCTGGTAAAATGTTGTTTCCTCCTCACAATGTAGACACACAAATAAGAACAATTGTTTTGGGGAACAAGCTGTGAAAGTGGTTATAGAAGTTTTTCTCACTGTTCTGCATTCCTTGAAAAAATGCAGAAGACTTGGACAGAGCATGACTCAGCTCAAAAGAGGATTCAGTTATGCAGAAATGTGGTAGATTGGAATTAATTTTTTCTCAGAAAGCAGAATTTAAYAGCTATTGACATAGTATTTGAGTTTTATAAGTGTAGCTGGACAGCGTCAGCACAGCATGAAAACATCTGTCCTTCACTAGATAACATCAAAAACCTTGCTATCTTTGCCACAACCGAGGTATTTGTGGAGTTTYATTTTTTGTCTGTGTTAAACCTAGACTTTTTGACACGTTCTTGCTTTTGTGAAGAAATACAGGGAAATTAGAACATGGCAACTAAAAGGTTTCTGTTCTATTTTAGTTAGAAAGAGCTTCAGCTGTGCAGCTTCAGCGCCTGCCTTCAAATCCTCTCCTTGAAGCAGAATGTGKCCCCTTAGTGTGTGCTCCCCTCCTGGGATGGCACATGGGAATGTGCTGGTGCGGGAAAAGGGACTTGTACGGGGGGAAGCTGCCATCTAGTGCAGCTTTTCTGGAGCCACAGACCTGAGGAAACCTGCCTGCGTGTGCTGGCGGAGCTGTGTGATGAGGATGTGCCGCTTTTGGGAATGGGAACGGGAACGGGATGGTTCCCTGCTCTGCGGCAGGCGCTGTGGAAAGGCAGGGAAGGGACGGTGCTTTTGCATCTGGGAGAATGACAGCAAATATATTGTGGATGTTTTCCAGTGTAACCTAAACCACCGTAAATATGTTTGCTTAAGAAGATGTTTTATACTGAATTTAACAGCTCGTGAAATGGGCCAGAAAATGAGCTACAAGGAGAACCCAAATAAGTTCTGCTTTTGTTGCTTGTGAAGGGAAAACATCTAGAGTATGACATACGTTTGATTGTTGTCGGAGAAGAGAAATTATTTTATTTGCTAACCCCCAATTTCAATGTTTAAACTTGATAACATTAAGGTAAGTGTTAATAAACAGGTGAAATTTTAGTGTTGCATCCTGAATGGGGGAGGAGTGTGTAGAAGAACAGCTAGGTTGTGGGGCAGGACTATTTAGGGATTGACTTTCACAAACTTTCCCGGTYCAAGGTGAAACAGTAGCAGTTGCAGTTTTCTGGAGATCATAGTGGTGATGGAGCTCATTGGGTCCAAAAGACGTGTTAGACAATAATTCACAAGTAAAGCAAAGCTGTCTAGGAAGTGGTTTGACAATTTGTCACTGTCCAGTTTGGCTTTGACTCGGTGGGGTTGGAGATAAAAGGAAAGAAAACTGCTAATGTGGAGCAAAGTTAAAACAGATGCAGATTCAGTGGTGAGACCAGGGAGTCTCAAAGGCATTTATTGGGTAGAGGAGGGAGATCCTTTGATGCCGTTCTGGTGACAGCATGTGTCAGGTGTTTTGGGGTTTTACTTTTTTTTTAATGTGTTCCTAACCCCAACATGTAGCATTCTTCCATGATAAGCCCTTTTCATGAAAAGGGCTCTCATTCTTGAAGACTACTTATGTATTAAATGGTTGAAATATTARACAGTCTGGGCATTGTCACCTGTTTCTGTTGTGAAAAGCTAACAATGAAGTCATGTCTGCATGATGCGTTGTCTTACACTGTCAAAATGCTTGAAATGCTGCTGAAATGAGCTTACAGCACTTTGATGCTTCTGGTAGCTCCACATGTATTTGTGCAGCCCTCTTGTTTGGTGTTGACAATGTGTGGCCTCATGTGTGTCTTGAAAACTATTTTTGTACAGGAGCACCACACCCCCCACCCCATCCCCTCACCGATGCTGACATTATTCCTGGTTGCCTGAGCTGAGGTGCAAATGAACGGTGACATGAAATCTTCTGACTTNAAAAAAAAAAAAAAAAAAAAAAAAAAGCCATTATAAAAAGAAAATCTTGCTATCTGAAGCAGGGAAGTTATCATAGCAGTCTCACAAGTATTTAAAATAGGGAACAATGAAGAAGAGAGGAGTTCTGCTGAATGTCAGGTATCCCCCAGAGTGCCTGAGTGCTGCAAAAKGTTCAGAAATAGTAATGAGTGTGGAAGTGTGGAGCTCCCTGCAGAATTAATGCAGTTTTGRAGATGACTAAGCAGCAGCTGCAAGCAGGACATCTGAAGGCTCTTGTGGAATTTGTCCTAAGTATTTTGAAATCTTTGGTAGGTGAAGGATACAGAACACGACTTTTGCTGGAATCGTGCTATAGCTGTGGAGCCACAAAGGTTGTCCTGGTTTAATGCACAGTGTAGTGACTCAACTTATTTTGCTGAGAGTAATTTTCATTTTTAAGGATCTATTTTCTGTGTTGTACCATTCCATAGAATCTTGGCCACGGTGTTTTCAAATAGAAGAAATGTCCAAGAGCATGTGGTAAAAGGATGAGCTTGTTATTCTGTCTGTCATGCCTACTTAAATTATACCGACTGTAGGTAGGCTAGCAAATATTTTTTCATARCGCAGCCAAGAGTGATGATGTCACTGATTTTTTTTCCAGCTCAGTTAAAATGAAGTACATGTAAATCCACTGTACAGGAAGCCCAATGAACTCAAACAGATGGATGAGATAGCTGGCTATTAAACTGAAGCAGACTGTTTAATTCTGCTTAATCTGTCARCCTAACTGTCAAAACTGGCTTTACTGAGTTAAATTTTGCTGTTCAGTTGCCTGAGCAATGTAGTCTTCCTTCAAGCTCCCTGAAGTGCTGGTGCCCTCTCTCTCTGTCACAAGTCTCACTTGTTTTTAAGCTCTTGGAACCAAACATCTTGTCTTGCTTTGGGAAAACCTGGTTCATGTCAAACAACTATCACAGGTGTGAGCAAACCCAATGAAGTTTGGGTGCAGAGTAAATGGCATTATTTCAGTTTTCATTGCCTGTGCTTTCTTAGCTGGTTTATGCAGGTTTAACTGTGTCTCTCCTGGATACTGTCCCAAAAATAAAGATGAGTGACTGGAACATTTGTTCTTAATAAAGTATTTGCATAATATATGTATTGGAAACACAAGGAGATAATCAGTGGACTGGGATATCACTGGGACATGGTGTGTATGAAACTAACAGAGATGGTTCTGTGGGAGGGGAAACGCTTAAAAAGAATTTCAAAACTCTTAGAATTTGATGTAAATTCTGAGTCCAAATAAGAATGTAGTGCTGCTGATCRGTTTACCAGCTCTTCTATGAAGCATTCCTGACAGAATGGCAACAGAATTTCATTACAAATAAAAGAACAGTGGTAGTTAGAAGTTCCCTTGATTGCATCTTAAGAAGGCATTCATAGTTATGGGGTGTAATATACATACTGACTTTTCAGACACTGTAGTTAGTTTTAGGTGGATGTGTCTCTTAATTTGTGACTTCAATTTGGAAACTGATTGGAGACTCTAGTACACACATTCAGCTTTTTTTTTTGTGGGAAGGCGGAAAAAATAATCATGTTAATACTTTAAAAATGGGAGCTATTAATTTCATTAAAAAAATGGGAGAGAGTGGGATAATTTGAACTACTTCAGGATCCAAGCTGATGCCAACTTTAACTATTCCACATACTGCAAACTAGTAATTTGCAATTAAGGGAGCCAAAACCTTCTCTTGTGTAGTTTCTTAAGCATTGCTGTAGTTATCAGAAACAAGGTGATAAGCTAGCTTGGAAGGTGAATGAGTCAGGTGATTGGTTGTGTGGGGTTGTTTGTGCAGGTGTTTGCATGGTGGTTTTTGGTGGTGGTGGTGGTTTTAATAAACTAAATTTTGTAGTTTGAGAAACCTTTTGCCTGTTTTGAAGGAATTTAATTCTGCTGTTTGCTGGTGTGAAGAGCTTGCATCTTTGTAGAGCATACTATTACAGTGCTGCCTGTGTACGTAATGTCCTGTGAAGTTTTCTCTAATGGGCATTATCTGAGCCATGAATTGTCTTGTGTCCACAGGTTGGAAGGAGATTTGTCCTGTGGCTCCCAAGCAATCTGTTGAGCTCCTGGTTTTTCTTCTAGTCATGTGTAGACTGTTAAATTTTCTCTTGTGCTTGAACTGGTATTAACTGGAGTTTGGTTGCCTGGTTGAATCTTCTGCTGCCTTAAGTTTCTATTGCTCAAGTTTTTGAATTAGTAACCTGTGGAAATCTTTGTCTCGGAAAATGTTCTTCTGTGACTTGGGGTCGTTATCATTTTTCATGCAGCACTCTACAGTATTTTTTTACAAACTAGTTCTTATGCAGGAAAAACAGCAGGAAATTTGTCAAAGGTGTGTGCTTTTCGTCATCAGAGATGCCCAAAAGTGCAGGAGTGCCTACTGAATATTTTCTATTTTTTTTTTCATATTTTTAAGTGTTGAAGCAATAAATTCTATTCACCTTCTATAGCAGAATTTAATCGGCTGGTTTTTGTTATCCAGCCCATTAATGTCTGGCTGAATTACAGCAACTGTTCAATTGCCAATCTAAGTTTTCAAAGCAATGTGTGCTACAACTTGGGGGTTTATTTTTAGTTGGAGTTTATCCATTTCAGTTTCCAACAATTGGATCTCATTCTGCCCTTGTCTGTTCCAAGTAAAAGATTTCTAGTCAATCTTCTGTGGATTCTTAAAAATTCCTGGTGAAGTCCACTTCTAAGTTTTCGTGAAGTAAACTAAATTTAAAAGCACTTTCGAACCTGTGTTTTTGTATACTCCTTTTAAATGTATCTGCAGACACATTTGTATTATGTAGTGCTTKTCAGTAGGAGATGTTAATTTGATTGTTCTTTGGCTCCATGTGAAACCTGCCAACTCTTCTGGTGTGTCCTGCTTCCTTACCAACTGCCCTCCACTTTCCATGATTTTGAGGTGAGTGTGGTAGGGAAGAGAGAGAACACATTAGGACAGTGAGTTAGAGATAATTTTACTTACCTTTCTATTTTTGGAGATGMGTGTAGGGCAAACCTTTACATCAAGTCTGTAAAACTGTAGCTTTGTCTTCCACGTTCACATATATTTTCATATTTCTGTGGACATGTAGGGTTAAATCACAGTGAAAAGCAAGCCTGCTTMTGAGTATGGATTTTTAACTTCTTTCATCCATTTCAAAAGGTTTGTTTTTGGTGCATCTGTTGGGTACCTTGTCTGATATGAATATGGGATTCCTCTAACTAATCCTGCCAGTCATTCAAGGAAGTTTTGTTTCTGTTTTGTTTCTACAACATWATTTTTACTTTAATGATTTTTCTCCAGATAATCAATAAGGAGCTCACAGGTCACCTGTTTTTCCTGCTAGAAGGCAACAATTTTTTAAATTCTTGAGAATTCTTTTCAGAAATCTTTTGCATTCTGACATTGTGGATGTTATTTCAGATGTATGGAAGTGTGGATAATTCAAATTTTAGTTTCTGTAATATAATAAAAAACTGGAGGACAACTAGGTCATTTTAAGTTTTCAGTAAAAGTTAAGGCTCCCATTGCTGCTATCAACAGTCATGCAGAAACTCTTCCTTTAGTTGTCTGATCATGCAGTCATGTTTTTACTCTGTGTAGTTGTCATAGGATTAGAGGTTAAAAAAATTTGATTTTTCACTCATTCCTAGTCAGGCATGTGTTATTACTCATACTTAGTAGGGATTAATGTGTGTGTGTTTTTTTTTTTTTTTTAAATCAGCTTCTGCATTCTTTGGGTGAGAATTGCTGACTTGCTTTTCCTTCTGCATAGGAAGAAAGAGATGAATTGATTATCAAGTGAGATGAGGTGCAGCAGAACTTGTATTCAGCAGCATCAGAATTAATTTTGGAAGTGGATCAACCTCCACTCTTTGAGCACCCAAGGACATTACAGGAGAGGATGTTGCTCTGATCAGAATTGATTTTGAAACACTGAGAACCTGCTGAGGGTGTTTTTTCAGTGTGAAACATTTCATAGTTGGAGACCTGACAGCAGCAGATGAAGGTTTAGGTTACAGCTCCAAGTTAAGCCATGCAGCTGACACCTGTAGTTCTCACTGGTACTTGTGATCCTGGTCTCCTAAGATATTTTATTCCCAAAGGCAAATTATTATCTAGATCATGGATTTTAGCAACAGCTTTTCTTTTATGGTACTGTGCCTAGTGATTAACAAGACTTCACAAACTGCAGAATATTTAGTAGAAGTCGAGTGTTAATGCGAGAATCTACAATTAAAAAGTGCTGTGAATTGTGGTAGGGTGTTTTTGTGGTTGGATTTTATCCTTCCCTACCAAGATTTTATCCTTCCCTCCCAGCCAACCCAACAACAGAAATTAAGGATGTGGATGGGAAATAGGCTCTGTAGTGGCAGTAAGAACTTCTGGCGGTTGACTTTGCCAATAGAAATTTTACTGTCCCTTGCTACTAGAAATAATTTATATTCTTCATTTTTATTTCAGAAATATTACTTCCCCTAATTTTGACTGTGCAAATGTGTCTGGAGAGGAGAAATTTTTGTCCATGTTTGAGCAGCTTGTTTGTACAAACTCCAGAGATTTATTCATCCACACATATATGAGATTGCATTCTTATAAATAATTGCCAAGACTACAGTATGCACATAATCTGTGTAAKGTTGGAGCAGCAGTATTGAATTGAAGCATTCAAATTTTCATGGAATAATTCAGTTTCCAATGGAATTATATTTCAATGTCATTAAAAAATGTTGGATCCACTTTTTTTTTTATTTTATTATTTTTTTTATTTTTATTTTTTAATTAGTCTGATATACAGATAGTATCTAATTGGAAAAAGATACTGGATAGGTAACATTCCATGGCTCTTTATCACTGGATGTTCTGTGAGCATCCTGCTTCTTCAAATGGACAGAAGTTGTGGATGTGCTGTTTGTAGTTTTTKTCCCGTTTTATAGTTGGTTTGGAGATTTCTCTGTGCATGCACGCTCAAATGTTATGCAGTGCAAATCCACTAGGTGGTRGGCATCAAGCATCTTCTAGCTAATTGTACAGCAGTACAGGAATTTTAAAAGCGTTTTGGAAATATTTGAAGGGGCACTGAAATGCTGCTAGTAGGCGTGTTGATTGAATTTGGAGCTTTAGATTAACAGTTGCTGGTCCTCTCTTGTKTAAGGAGCTGGAACCTGCTTCTGCACCCACATGCTGGTGAAATTGTTAGTGTTTTAGGGAACTATGTTTRTAGTATGAAAAATAAATGGGAAGAAATAAGAACATAACTTACAGGATTCTGTCCCTATGGACAGCCTGATGGAATACATGCAGATACCCTTCTGATGTGACTAGTGCTATTATTTTTGTAAACAGAGTGTGATATTGGATGTGAAACTGTTACTGATCACTTTTCTCTGCTCTGTTACCCACTTCTGTTGCTATTAAATGGGKGATTTTATCTCGCTCCTTCAGCATGTTCCATTTGGATCTGGCTTTTACCTTGCCCKGACATTTTCTACCCATGTGTGTCCTGGGGTATTGTATCCCAGCTATTGGAAAAAATGTGAGAAAATTCTGTTGTGAACTCGAATGGTTTAAATAGCCTCCATAAATGGTAATTGTTTAGAGGCAAGCATATCTATACAGAGTTCATAACATTTGGCTCAGCTGGAAATTGCTGTTTAAACAGTTGATTGTACTGAATGAATGCTGTTCATTGTAGCAGCTATTGTTATGAATGTAGGTTTGCAATTTTTATAAAATACCGTTTGGGTTTTTTTTGGCCACTGTTTTCTGTAATTATAATGTGAGGAAATTCTTATTCTTTTGGCCCCAATCTGAACTTTTGCTGTGGTGTGTCTGTAGTGYTAGTTCAGGTTGTGACATCATTGTGCATAGTTCTACAAAATTGGTAAAACTCCCTTCCTCACCTGCAGAGTACCTGCAGCGCTCAGGGGAGGCCACTGCTGTTCCATCCTCTGGTGCTGCTCTTGGTCATTTTCTCGGTGTTCTAACTGGTTGTTCTCACCTCTGCATTTCAAGGGTCAAAAGGCTTTACATTCAGCAGCATTCCTTGACTACTCACCATGTTTCTTAGCAAAAATTCACTTTGTTTTCTGAATACATTTCCAGATTTTTTTCTGAGTTTGAGCAGTTCTCTGAGGAGCATTACAAATTGAACYCCATTTAGCTCTTTATCCTGATGAGAGTGACTTTAAATCCATTGGGGAGAAGTGTGTAGAATACAAATAACATCTTATGAGCTGCTAAGCTTTTTGTAGTATATTTTTCTTCCATGCTTTCAGTTTATAACTCACTCAATGATCTCTGTGTGAGATTCTTTTATGCATTGGATTTTCTAGTAGACATACTGATACGATCTGAAAGGAAAGTAAAATAAAGTAAAATATACTTCTGGGTATAAAGTAAAATATACTACTGGGTATAGAAAGAGACTTTCATCATAAAAGTATTTTTAGATCAGCAGATAATGCTAACTTTTTCTGTGTTACATGAATCTTGGTTTTTATTAGGTCATATGTGGTCACAGAATTCATCTGATATGCGAACCTGTTTTTGTTTGATTCACTTGACRCACAAGAGATGACAGCTTCTCTGGAGATGAGGTATGGTCAAGATTCTGAAGCAGATGACTCAGGAGGAGTTTCAACAGTTTTTTGAGTGGAAGAGTGTTAAAACAAAGAAATTAACTCATGTCAGAAATAATATGGACACAACTTTGCAAATTCTTGCTGACTGGTTCAGTGACATATCAAAGGTAAGACGAACAATCAATCTTTCTTGTTGGTGAAAATTATGAAATATGACATTGTCTATCTGAGCCTGTGAGGAATAGGCATTAGCAGAGACAACTCTTTGTGGCAGGGAGTTTTGCATATGAGCAACTGCTCTAAATCTCAGAGTCTCAATACAGAGGGAAAGGTAATACATTGAGGAATAGAGTGTTAATTTTCCTTTATTCTTGGTGCAGTGAGCTGAGTTTATATAAAAGATTCATCTCAAAAGAAAACACACATGTCTGTATTTTTATGCAAGTGTAACTTTGGGTGTGTTCCATTTTCGTTGTCTGACTGAAATGCTTTAATTAGTCCTTTCAAATGGCCTTTGGATAGAAAGATTTCAGATTTTTAAATGTTCTAGTTCAAAAATGTTGCTGAAGGTGGTGATGAAAGATGATTATAAAAAAACAGCCATTCTGACTGGATGAGATGTAGGTATAGGCCGCAGACAAATATATAATAGATTTTTTTTCTCTGAGTGCAGAGAATTTATACAAGTAAAGTGTGTACCATTCTGCAGTAGCTTTCTGAAGCTCTGTCTCAGTCTGAGTTGTAGGAGGTTTGGAGCACTGAAGTTGGGTGCAGGCTATTTCTCTTTAAAGGAGATGGAGGGTGAAAGTGAATTACCATTCACTGAGTTCTACTTGTAATGAAAGCACAAGGTAGGGAGGTAACTTCGAGAATTTCCTATCTCTGTGCTTAATATCTATGTTTTTTTTCCTCAGTCTAGGACTCAATCTTCCTGGAAGGGCTGTCAGCCGCTTCTCCATTCCTGCAGGTGCAGCTTCCTCGATTTCCTTCTTGTCACCATTTTATGTAAATGTTCTCARTTTGTGTCAGCACAACCTCCCTACCCATGTGAGTTGAACAAAATCACAAGGGTGGTGCCCTCTCATAGTGAAGTTTCCTGCTCTTGCATTTCCCTGTACCCAAAGCATTTACTGGGGCCAGATGCAGCACGTTGGGCTTGGTGCATGTCATGTGGAGTTTAATGTTAATGAATATAATTATATTATAAATATATTATAATTAAATATYCACAGCTGTTTATAATCATGTTGGTTATTAGAGGGGGCAAACAAACACACAGGTGGGTTTGTGTGGTTGCAATTCAGAGTGTTCTGCATGTAGARCCATGGCTGAAGTTTGTTAGAACAGTGGCAACTATGGTTTGCCTATTTCAAATCTGACCCTTTCTGCAAAGCTTCAGACATGCAGGAAATGTACAGAAATTTGGGATGRGCTGGTAGAGCACTGGTGGTAGATCAAGGAAGAAATTTTCATTTATCCTTCTTAGTCACTTCAACTTTTTATATGCAATTTTTCTGTTGCAATTTAACTTCCACCTCCTTTAAAAAAGGGTGAGCAATTGTGTAGAGGAAATCCTTCTTTGAAGTGTTTTCCTACTCTTTATTTTAAATACATACTCCTCTTCCTCTCTGTCTGAGTCCAAAYTTATCTACTGTAGTATTTATGAGAATCTGTACAATAGGAAATGGGTCAGTGACAGACAAGGAAATTTTCTGAGCCTGTGTGGCTCCTTTCCAGTATGCATCTCCAGGCTTTTGGGAGCAACTTTTTGTTTTTAGTTCCTTTAAGGTTAAGACAATAAAGTATTTTCACAATATTTAGTGRAATACACAAGTTTGATAGGTAAATTAACAAGGTGTGGATTGCAAGTTTCTCTTATGACAGTGTGTCTTGCCTGTTAAATACAGGACCATATTTCTATTTTACTTCTGGCTGCCAGTATAACAGCTTTTCTTCTGCAGATATGAGCACCAAAACTTCACTAAAAACAATAGTCAGTGTAAATATAAGCTGATCTTACTGATTTTTCTTTGACCTCTCTGCATCTTATGCCTTGAAGCTAAGTTATTTCTGACTTCTGTGAAAGTACTTATGGTTTCCTGGTAAAATCTTTAACCTCATGCCACACTTGATAAACTGTGAAATAGAGCCCAGGATGTGCCTTATCTCAGGCAGTACCACAAAGGAATGGAAATTTCATGTACTGCTGTGTGAGCAGCACATTTTGATTTTTGGCATGAAACACAATAGGAGAGGGATTTTGATTCTTCTGCTGTTTCCTATTTTGCTAAAAAGCAAAATGAGATTAGGAAAATAAAACCCRATCAAGGGAATAATTAACTTAATTTTTGCCTGGTGAATCTCAAATCTATTAGTTCTAGAAATTGTTATAATTACTCAAGTGTGAGGTGGGATCTGACTCAAATCCTRATCATATTCCTAGGAGGTCTAACTCCTTGTATTTCTTTCTTCTATTTGCTCTTTGATTGCTAACTTCTTATTTTCAATTGCAAGGCTGATTACTTGGTGGATTTTTTTTTCCCTTCCTTCTCCTTGAAATGTTATAACTTGATGCCAGAAATGTCTTCTGTTTCAGAGGAACTGGTTCATGGTGGGGGTGAGAATGAAATTCTTGAAAAGTTTGGGTTGGCTTAACTAAGAAATACTAGTAATATTGGTTCTTCTCTTTCTATGTGCCAAGCAGCTTTCTTTGAGCTTTACCAAGTTTTAGTTCATGTGCTAAAAATACAGGCAAAAGTTCTGTTTGAAATAATGGGTTGCCTCCCTGGGTCAATGCGAATACATAAATTTACTTTTTCCAGTCTTGAGAGGTTAACAGTTTTCCATCCCTTTCATTTTGCATGGGACAGGTGTCCTTGCCTTACCAGTATTTGTTTTCTGTGCTGGTGTTAGCCCTTTCCTCAGTTGTTTCCATTTTCTGATAAGCATTTCCTCCATTCTGTTTTGCTGACCCTGAGGTACTCKCATTTTCTCTGCAATGAGAGTCCCTGCTGTGCCAGAGAATGGATATTTCAGTAAATGTTGCACCTGTCCTTTGATGTAGCATCATACTAACAAAAACCACKGAGTTTAGTCTGTGTGTTACTGCTCTCAGTGATAAAACCACTGAGACTCTCACTTGGTGCCTGCTTTAATGTTCCATATCTATTATAACCATGCTAGCCTTAAAAATAATTCTTTAATAGCATGTGGAATATGAAACTGGACTTCAGCATAGAAGTGCCAGTCAGTTTTATTCTATTGAAACTCTTGGATGAACTCTTAGCCTTGGTAATTTCCCTTTTAGAATCTCTATAAGAAGAGAGAGAATAATCTGATAAATTAATTTTTCCATTCATAATGGAATTTCTCAGTAAAGGTTTTACGTCTTAAACATTGTTGTGTATAAATGAAGAATGACTCCCAATCTTTACTCACTCTCTCTCTAACTCAGTACAGGAGCAAGATGAAGCACAGAAGGGAGTAATTGTGGGTTCTTACAATAAAGTTATATATAAAATTCACCAAGAGCAAAGTATGATCACTGTCATACAGAACAGATACTTAGGAGTGTTGAGGTGAGTTTATGCCTTATTTATTTCTATCCATACAGRATACTGATCCATACAGGTAACCCTTTCTGATACAATTTCTTTTTGATAAACGTCCCTTTATTTTTTTGGAAGAAAATTCTTGGAGCATGTTGGTGATGAGAGGTTGGTTGGATTAAARCTTCAGAATCCCAGTGGTACATTGCCTTAGCCTATAATTCATTTCATACATTTAAATATAAAGAAATATTTTTTTTTTTTTTAAAAAAGGAGTAAAAGCTGGAATCTGTAGATTCATGACAAATGAGTAGTATGTAGCTTAAGGGAATTGAGCTTGAAGTAGAATGTTTGTTTTTTTCAGAAGATTGTTAATGTAATTAAAAAGAAACACAATGAAAACACTCTTCTGTGGGGAAAGACCCTGAAAAGCTGAATTGAAACAGGCTCCAGGCTGTTTCTCTAATGCTTTTGTGTAAAACATATGACAAGAGAAGGATTTAATGATTTCTGATTTTTTTCTTTTCCTCCTAGTTTGAACAAGGCAGAGGAATGGCTGGATAGAAGAAATGTTACTAACTACTTATTATCTGTTAAGAAAGCTGTGAAAAYCTTGAAGGCCCAGCTAAGGAGCAAACTGATTAAAAAGAGCAACTTTGGGAAAGTAGAAAAATGTTATARTGTTGGTGTTTTTGTCTGCTGTTTTTCAGATTTGTTTAGAAACATTAATTTTGTCTATTCCAAGTAAATGGTGGCAATGTAGAACAATTTGTGTTTTTTGAATTCAGTTTTGCCTTTAAATATGCAAGTTTTACAGACCCTTGAGACAAGTCTTGAATGGTGTAAAAAAACCAGAAAAACTCCACTAACCAATCACCAAGAAAAAAAATCAATTCATAGACTTTTCTTCAGTCCCCAGCCATGGCACAGTGTTTTTAACTGATTCCCTCTGGTGCTGTTCACAGCATGAACAGTTTAGTCCAGCTCTTTCTGCTGTGCTGGTTACCTTTAACTTTATTGAAAATGTGTATATCTTCTCCTTGGTGACAGAAGTCAGCATCTGCTCCAGTTTTCAGGGTTTGCCACTATTTCTCAGAGAGGTTTAAAGAAGGTAAATACTTCTTCAGCTTCACTGCTCTTGGTTTGATTGCACMTTAATTATTCTGATGATGATGCTTAAGGAAAAAAAGAACCTGCAGGTTTGCCTCTAAGCATTGTAAAGGGGCAGTAAACTCCCAAGAGGGATTTAGAGTGAGATGCACTAAGGAAACCTACTGGGAGAAGGATTCTTGAATAATGAGGTGACATGAAGGAAATGTCTGTTTAGTGGAGAAAAAAAGGGAATGAATTATGGAACCTGGTGTTGCTGGTAGATTAATGACATTGCTGCTACTTTTTTTTGAGACCAGCTAATTAAAATAAATTTAAAAAAAACCTGTTTGACATAGGAAACAATTAGGTAAAAGGCTAGAACATGTGGCATAAATAAAGGGAATACCTTTCTCAGTGATTAGTTTTTCAGAGATTCTCTTTGGTTTACAGGAAGGAGATGTAGTAAAATAAGCATTTGAGAATACATTCAMCTCCAGAACTATGTTATGGAAGCTGTTTTTAAAGCAGATTACTGTTGTTTGGTGTAATAGCAGAGTGAGAATTATACACAGATGTTCCWATTCCTAATGCAGTGTGATGATTACAAAATGACATCAAATGATTTTGAAATGACATCAAAAAACCTTCCTCTTTTACTTCACATAAAATTCAATTCCAACTGTCATAGGCAGGGAATTGTACCACTTTTTGACAACAACCTGGCAGAATGAAAGTTCTTCAAAATAGCACTGAATGTCTTTCTGTATTTGTAATTTTTTTTTTTTTTTATTTGAGAAGTTTTGCCCTTTGTGTTCTTTGCCACCTTATGAAGTTTAATACTTTCTTAGTGCTTGGTATGCCAGGGAGGAGAAAGCAGCCTTCTTTCCTGATTAGGTGGTGTGTTGGACACCATTTCCTCTGCCTCCTTGTTGTCTTYTGGCACCGTATTGCTGCCTCCCCAACTCAGGAAAGCTCCCAAATCTGAAAAGCCACAAGCAATCCAGCAAGTGCTGATGATCCTATGCAGTGATTTTGCATGAGCATTACACCAGTTCATTTATTGAACTGGTTCAATGAGTACTAGCTGGAGCTCCAGGTATATGGGCAGGTCTTGCTGAGAAATGCTGGCAGTTCCATCATCTCTACAGTGATGGCTTCRATAAATCCTTYTGTGCTKTTGTATTTTAAAACCAATTCCWAACACAGMTGTGAACTGCAGGCTGATGGGAAAMCTCTGYYGGTTACCTGTGCTGAGAAGAKGAAGCTGACTCATATAAAAGTCACTCTTCATTGTGTTTTATTCCCAATAAAAGCAGTTGCTTAAAATTAAGTCATTTTTCTATTTGAATGAATGAGTGATGAAATAGATTAACTACAGTGTAGCTTTGATATCATAGATGGTTATAAATTATTAACATGGTAGGATTTAGTTWGAACACTTTTGCTATTTGTTATCCAGTTCTTCCTCTGTTCTAGTGGTTTTTGCAGGCAGAAGTGAGGATAAAAGAAGATGTAAAAAAACCCACCATAAACAACAACAAAAAAAACAAAACCCAAAGAAACAAAGACAGTTTTACAAATAAGTGATTCTTCTTGAAGAGAATAGCTGGGGTACAGCAAGATGGGCATTCAGAAACCTCATCCAAGTTTGCAGCTGGATTTCAGATTGCTCCACATGTAACTAATCTCCAGCTCAGACYTGGTGTTGCATTGATCATTTGATGGAAAATTCTTAGTGTTTYGTTCAGCAGTTTCCAGTTTCATGTTGGGCATCTGAAATTACRTTCTCCCTCATTTAATAGTGGTGCCACCTCAAAAATACAGTGATTTTCTGAGTTCTCTGCTGATCTGTGTCCCAAAGAGCCCAGCACTRGCTAAACTTTTGCTGTCTATGTAATCACTCAGAACAAAGGTATTTTCAGCTTAACCTTCAGGGAGTGTTTGAAAAATGCTGTGCTCATTTATGCTTCTGGGTAAGAGTGAAGGCTGGGGGATTTTTCTTGGTTTATGAGTACGAAGTTCACATTTGTCAGAGTGTGCTTTCCACTCAGCATTCCTTTAACATACAACGTGGGCATGGACTTCTCAGTCATATTTCTAGAAGTCTCTTTCTTTTGACCTCTAAAAGTTTCTTCTGATTTTTTTCCTCTCATTTCTGTGTCAGGGAAATTTGAGCCCCTTGCATTTTTTACCCAGCTGCAAAATTAGAAAACAGTCTTTTCTTGTCATTTTTTCATGTCAATCCATTTTCATTTGGAACCTGGTGAATCTTCTTGAGTGATGTTTGGTTTTGTTAAACTAAAGGGGAAAACCCACCAGTGTTATGTATTATATAKATTTTCATTTACAGCTTTGAATTCAAACCAGAAGTTTGGCATAAAACACACACAGTACCTGAGGTAGATATTGTCATGGAATGTCAATTTTCCGATAAGAAAGACAAGAGGTGTTTGGTTGGATTTTGAAGTGAAATATTTGATTTAAAGTGCTGGGCTGAGAAAATGTTCTTAATTGGCTATTTGTAGAATTCTAGATAGTATGCACAAATAAAATCACGATTGAAAAGGTAGAAAGCTCCAGAGTTTTCTTAATATCTAACTCAGACCTCAGAGGAGCAACTTCTCCAAGAACTAATAATTAATTGAATGACTCCATATTACAGACTTACTCTCCAAGTCATTGAGATTCAGCTTCAAAGGAGGCATTTGTATTAGAAACCTATATTTTCTGAAGTCAGGAAGYTGACTTTTTCCATCTATCTTACTACATTATTACTGCGCAGTGTTTGAGCATTAATAAACYAGCCAAATTCGATTTTAATAATGAAAATGCAGTTGAAAAAAGGGTACTGTGTCTTTTCTTCATTYGTTTGGGGTTTTTTTTGTGCCATGACTTCTTCTCTGCTTCTGAAACAAATCTACAGATATAAGTGAAGCCTGCATGATGCAAATTGTTGCAGTTTTCTTTCTTTCTACTCTCAACTATTATTCTCTGCCTGTCTTATGACAGCAGCTGGTGCCTCCTGGAACCCTATTTGCAGACTCTTTTTTCAAGCTTGTCCTTGCCTAGTGTCTCAGTGACTCTGGGAATAAGAAGCAGATCTGTGCCCCTTCATGCTTCACAAYTTGGCTCTCCCTCTTTGAAGTCAATCTTCACTAACTTATCTTTCTCTTGGATGCTAATCATAGGCATGTAATTTTATAGCCTCATGTCTGTGCATTCTTTACCTGAGTGCTTGTCTTTCCTTGTGTAACTATTTCCCACAGCCTTTCAGTCTTCTGGCCAGGAGCTAAGACCAAACAATAAATTCCTCTTTCCTAGTTATACTTGTGTGTTAATGATTTGCCAGCTTTACAGAGATGACTTTTTCTTCATGGAGGTAAATTACAAGAGTTGTGCTCATTATGAGCTTATTGCATTCTGATTGCTGTGTTTAGGTTCAGAAACTGTCATGGTGCAGTACCAGACCAACACCACTGTAGTGGCTCCAGTGTCCGGGCAGGACAATTTGTGTGTCACCGCCTATAACTCAGTACTATAAACAATCTTGTTTTATTTTAGTTTTATTATGTGACTTCTCTACAGCATGTCCTTTAATAGCTTCACTTCAACCCTTTTCTGCAGTGGTGAAAGCATTACTGATAATGCACAGGRCTGCCAACTAAATCCTTCTGCAAAATTATTTCTAGTGGGATGCTACCRTGGAAAACAGAAGAATAAAATATGCAACATTTGAACAGGGAGGTTATCCTGTAAATAATGTGTCTTATTGCTCATTATAGTTAATTGGTTTTTTATTAAAAATGAAGTGATTCTCATGAAACACACAATACTGTAGAAAAGAAGATTCAGCACTTCATGGCTGAACATTAGGGGAAGCAAGGGGGTTTTAAAAATATTTCACAGAACTTGCACAGAACTGTCTGCCCAAAGCAGCATTCAGGATTATGCATAATAATCCTTAGATACTAAAATGCCCTAACTTTCCCTCATGCATAAGGGAAACTTACTTCAAGGATGTAGAAAAGATTTCTTGGGACATTAGAATGACTTGGTTCACTTCTGCTTTCCATAAAACTTCTGATGTGATAATGTTTAATAAATAAGATCTCAAGTATGCAAATCCAAGTTTAAATGGCCAGTTTCAGGGTATTATACTTCTGTGTTCTTCTGTCACAGGTACCCTCGGAAGTGCAAAGAACTGCTCTTAAGAACCATTAATGAAATCATCTGGTATTTTTTTCAGCAGATTAATAAGTTTTACAGTTATTAATAAGAGCAAATTTCTTTGACTTTTTTTTTTGCCTGATGAAAAGAAGCATTTAGTTTTGTTTTTGTCAGGTGATACAATCTTTATCAATATACCACTGCTGGCAGTTTTTAAGGATTCACTCTGGATGTGTGTACATGCACGTGCCCCAAACACTAAAGTCCACCAGAAAGCAATCTGTGCTCCCTGCAGTGCATAGAAATATAGATGAGAGTTTTACTAAGAACTCTAATACTAATAAATATCTTTCAGCTGTTTCTTGGGGAATCTTTTAGACCTCTGGCTGTTAATCCTTGTCCCAGTTCTTGGGGAAAATCTATTTTGCTTTAAAGTGCTTTATCTGTAATCAGCTTATTCRGAATTAATCTCCATGCCCATCTGCAGGCTCCTGACAGACTGGTAATTTCCCTTCCATCTCAATCTCGKGCCCAGAGGAATTGCACACTTGAAACTAGTAAAATTTTTGTTGTTTTCAGCAAATGTAAAATTGCCACAAGAAAATAACATAGGGCTTTAAAACAAGGATATTAATGTTAGGTAACTGTAGAAAGAGCAATGTTTAGCAGTAAGACCTTGCAGCCACTCATTTAGCCAAACCAAAATTCAGTGTTGGTGTGTTTTGGCATCCAGTTTTGTGTATTTAAAAAAAATAAAAAAGCAAGTAAGATCAAACATGATGAAATGGAGTAAATAYGATAAAATGTTGTCCTACTGCTGTATTCCTTGTGGAGTTGATTTTCAGTTTCTTTAATGTGAGAAGGGGATATTTGTTGTTGACAGACATTTGACAGTATCTTGAAATGCAAATATGCATTTCAAGATATTGTCAAATGTACTGTCAAAGTACAAAGCTTTTCAACCTYTGCAAATGCTCAGATTTTCTTCACTTTAATTTTAAGTGTGTAGTCATGGTTCACTCTTGTCTTTCTYTGCATGTGTTTGGATCCTCTTAGCTAGAGATTTTCCTTCGAGTATTCACAATGTTTTATAAATATTGAACAATCCTTTATGCCTGCAAGATCTGCAGTTTTCAGATCTCATGTTTTAACCCAGATTTCAGGTTACTTGGGGATTGACTAATTCTCCAGAGTCACTCTGATAATAAGTGAAAGAGTTGGAAATCGCTTATTTCTGTCTGCAAGTTTTTGACTACTTGTGTACAATCCCTTGCACTGTATCCTTCTGCCTGTGTGAATTAGGGATAGGTGAGGCATGTGCAGTATTCCTGTATTTTGCTGTTAATATTGTCCTGGGTCAGAGGAGTTCCTGGCTTGGAAACTATGAACAAGCAAGCCTTCCTATGGGAAGATCCTATTCCTTTCAAGTTTTGGTAATCTCAATTTCTGATATTGTTTTTCTTTTAGTGCTCTTATCCAAATTCAGCGTGTGCTCTTTCTCCTCAGCAGCTGATGTTTATGCATATGTGTGGAGCAGAGGATTTATGGTTTGTGTGTGGAGCCTAGTGCTGTTAATGTGCTAAGTATTTAGGCATGTAATCCCTGCTGATAAATCCAGAGAGCCTAAGTGTAAGTGAAGGTTTAATGGCAAAATAGCTGCTGTTGATTTAGAGTCCATTGCTATGTTTTTTTCTTCCCTGTGCTCTTGTAGAGAGAAAAAATAATATTAAAACAGATAAAGGTGAAGTTATAGAAAGCGAATGACACCTGTTTTGTKCATTCTCAGTAGAAAGACAAACTTCTGTATTTCTGCAATTTATMGTATTTCAGTGAATTAATATTTCAGAATTTCTAAAACTCATGCTCTTCTGKGAATTTTGCTGGCAATGGGTTGACAGATCTGGTGCTGAAGATTAACTTGTATTTTGTTAATGAGCACTGTGATGTTGAGTGTTGCTGTCCATTGGGAATGCTATGGTACAACATTTTATCAGGGCTTTAGGCCATAAGCACTTACAACATGTGYTCATCAAATGCTCGTTGTTATTTGTAATCGAGTTTGTTTTGCTTTCTGATGAAATCCTTTTCCTTCTGTTTGTAGGATGATAAAGTTAAATCTCTTTTCCTGCATTTGTTCTGCTGTAACAGTCGGATGCCTGAGCAGGTGTTGAGGAATGATTGCTTCCTCACAGTTGATGCGATTCCAGTTTCACTGCAAACCAGGTGAAGAGTATGAGCCACATGAAAAATATAAYTCTGAGAAAACAGATGGGGAAAAAGTGATTAACTGAGGAGAATGAAGCAAACCCCACTCAACAGATGAGCAATTTTCCATCAGGTGTTTCTTTAAGACTTCTGTTTTTGTTTGGTTTTGAAATCATTGACCTAATCTGAAATCTCAAGGTATAAAAGGTTTGGTAGGTGCATCCATTTTTTGAGATTATACAGTCTTTGTTGTGTTTTCTTTTAAGTATGTTTTATTCTAATAAAGTATTTGGGCTTATAAGTGTGATTTTACTGATTGTATTATTGATTTGTCAGCCTTTTGCTTACATGTAGGTTTTGAATTTAAAGAGGTTAGTCTTGTTAGATGCCAGAGATCTTTAAGATGAAGCTTTAGTGAGTAGTTTTGTAGTTTTTTTATTGAGTTTTCTATCCCTCTTCATGCTCTGATTCCAGATAACATATTCTTCTTAAAGATGCTCTAGGGCATTATTTTTTTGCTGAAGGTTTGTTTTTATTGCATAGACCAGTTGTTCTTACAGCAACTGCCTTCAGGATTTATGTAAAAACTCCAATATCCTGCTTTGACAATGGGTAAAAGAAATGGTGAGCACCATTTCTCTTTTCTTTTTGACTTKGAAAAATGTAATTGGCTTTCTAGACAGCAGTCATTCTTCTAGTTGCTCCTTTGCAGTGCTGCTGCCAACCAAAATAATCTACACACACATTAACAAAAACTACTGTTAGCTTGCTTTGCATTACTGTGTGTGCATATATCATATGTTATTAAATGTTTTTTTGCAGTAGYTATTGAGGGTGTGATTTTCATGAGTGGGTTTGTTTGCCTGCAACACTTTGCTGTTGATATTTCTGTTGAAAGAGTTTTGTCAGCTCTTTATCTTTACAGGAARTTGTTGTTTATCTTGATGAAGGCTTTAATTTCTTCTCAGAAAGGAGCAGGTCCGAGTGTGCAGTGTTGCTGTAGCAGTATATTTCTTTGGCCTCTGGGTGCTGCTCTTGGACAGTGCTGCTGGCAAACTGCTGTTTTGCAGAATTACTGAAGCTGCTTGTTGTGGGATGAAGAATGTCAAGATGCAGTCTGTAGCAGGCAAGCAGCCCCACCAGGGGATTTGGGGAGCCCTCAGGTACCATAAAATGGTCCACAATGGATAGAAAATACCCTTGGCAGATTCATGTCTGATATTAGGCTTGTTTTTCTATCCTTAAACAAAAATTAGGGKTTTTTTTTTATATGGAAGATGCTTCATCTTCTTTTCGTTGAATAATGATGGTTTTTTGAATTTCTTTAATGTGTGCAAAACCAATGACAGTAAAATCTTTGTTAAAATTATTTTTATGTAGAATTTTTGGCTAGTAGAATAAATATTTTCATTACAGAAATCACAGAAGAATAATACCTTGTCAATGAACATAAACAGTTCACAAGTTTTGTGAAATTGAATGCTTTCTAAATACTGATTGCMGTCTTTCACTGTTAATAAAATGGGAACTCAAATTTCAATCAATGTTAAACACTGAAAAAAGGTTAGACTAACCTGATGGTTTGTATCTGTCATTGATGCTGTGTAAAAATGTTAAGAATAATTTTTTTCCTGGTTTTCCTGCTCCAGAGTCCATTCAAACTAAAGTGTACTTAAATCTCCAAATTGCTAACCTTGATTTTCTGAAACCAGAAGTCTTCATGTATGTTTGATTGAATAATCTGCAATTTATTTTTCTTTAGAATCTCTTCACTAGCTCTAAGTAATATGAAACCTTTCAATACGTATGAGCCTTTTCTATTCGAACTAAAGGTTGATTAAAGTTTTAGTGTCACCAGCTCTGTTTGTTTCTACTTTGACATTTTCTATGGTAATTTTGTAGCTCTGGCTTTCTTTTTATTTCTCACTTGCCGGAGGCCCTCAGAAAAGAGGTTGGTTCAGGGTCAGGCTGCGCAGCTCTCCTGCCAAAGCTGAATATTAATCCATGGTAATGGGCTGCCTGCTGTGCGGATGGAGACATCTCTTTCAGCTTCATCTCTTCAGGCTGGATGGTGCTTGGAGGATAGGGAAGAGAGGTTGAAATGATCCTGTAGGAACCCTCTGCCTTCTTACTCGCTTGCTGCTTCTTCTAAGAAGCCCRAAGGAAACTTGTCTCCATCTTCCTTGGTATCAGCAATCTGCAGCTTTGGGCAGTGTCCTTGCACAGACCAGGGTGGTGAGGGCCTGCCAGGGGCTGGGTATTGCTTTTCTGGGAAGTWAGGTATTCAGCTGTCATGGATCCAAGGCATTCACAACTCCTTACAGCCTTTAATGATAATCATGCTGTTCCCTCCCAAGGTATTGGATGACTTTCTTTTGTAAGGATTGTTACCTGTTACTTGTACAGAGTCGTGTTCTCCACACTCCTCACCTCGATGTTCACCAGCTGTGCTTTGGAATCAGCCCTGGCTTTTGCTCAGTGCCTCACACCCACTCTGCCACTGCAGTCACCTTCCAGGCTGTAGATGTGATAACAAAGTTATTTCAGAGGAAATGCCCTCTTCAGGGCAACCTTCTCCTCTGGCTCTATCCAACCCAGCCTGCAGACCTCCAATGAGGCTGGTTTTCTTTGGGAAGAGGAGTTCTTTCAGCAGGCTGGGAGAACACCAGCATTTCTCCATACTTTGGAACTCTTTAATTTCTGAATGCTGCACCTCTGGCCAGCTCTGTAGAATCCTGCCCTTCTGTTCAAAACCTCCTACTCTTCATTCCTGCCTTAATATCTATAATAATTTTACTACATCTTTCCAGGTACATTGCTGCTCACATTGTTAGCATTTAACACTTGTGCCTGTGTAGTTTTGAGAAGGGTTGAGGTGGGTATTTTGTACTTCAAAATAGATTTCTGCTAGTTAAGAGCCCTTACCAACACTTACAGGTATTTTAACAATTTTTTTTCCTGCACGTGTGTATTGCCTGCAGGTTAAATTATATTCCTTCACAGGTAACTGCCTCAAGAACTTCCCCTAAATGGGCAAAGATTGATTTCATCTGCAGTCACTTAATTTCCCCAAGTGCAAGGAAATTGGCATGAATTTATCCTGATTTCAAATCAGGAGTCTCATAGCTTACAAGTTGATGACTATCTAGACTGTGATGAATGTTTGAGAGCTTGATCTTCATTCACATAATTTAAAACCCTGGTGAAAACTTTCCTCAGATTTCTGAGAGTGTGCTGACAGGCACTAAGATAATGGGCTGTGCCATAGCTCCTGCAGCAGTTGTCTTGTACTGTGTGTTTTTCACAGCAAACACACCATGGCTAGATAAACAATTYTAAAATTGTCCTAAATCTGCTCTTACCACATGTGGTGGTGGCACACGGGCTCAAATGTTGCAGTCAGGTTTCGGCAGCTTTAGATTCAGGGACTGCAATACATCAAGGCCACACCACGTAGAAGCCTGAGTTAAAATGCTGAATTGGATTTTTTGTAAATGTGTTTCAGTATATTATGTATGTCTAGCATCTGTGTGTTAATGCTGTAGGTTATGTTGCCAACAGGTGGAGAGGAACAAGGTTTGCCCTGCTGTGTGATGTGGTGCTGGTTTGTATTTGGCACCTGCTGTGTTGCTATTTAGCAGCCTGAGGGTGGGACCCCCTTCCCCGTGCTGTGCTGCAGAGATGAAAAGCTTGCCAGAACTCCCTGACTCACCTTTCTGCACTTGTGGACTTGCAGCTGTTCAACTTTCCTGCAACCTTAACTGTTGGTAGCACAGTCAAGCAGACCRGATCTGTTCTGTCTCATCTTGGCAGTCCCACTGTGGACCAGAAGTTGCTAATATTCTGAATAGGGTATTTAAGTTTAATATGTCAATTTAGCAGCCCTCTGGCTTCTTTCTGATCTTTTCCGACTCCATGGCCTGGTGTTTCAGTAAAGCCAAGACCTGTAATCCCTGTCATGATTACACTGGGTACTCACACACTTGACAGATCTGGAGAAAGAGTCCTTGTTTGAAATCAAAGAAAACGGTGAGTGTGAGCCTTGGGGCTTTGAGGTATAACACAATCTTCCTTCAAATGACTCAACAGCAGGTTTTGCCCATATCAGGTATGTCTTGGGTTTTCTYCTCTCCCAGATGTGGCCTAGGATGTTTGTGCTGTACATGTGCATGTTACAGCCTTGGATGCWTGCAGTTAGCTCCAGGGCTGAGGGAACAATCTCCTCTCCATCACTTGGTGAGCCTTCCATGCATTGCTGAAGCTTTTCTTTCTAACCAGCTTCTTGAGAGCTTTTCTCCTGTTCTCTCTCCCTACTGTGGTAACGAAGTTTCTCTGTTGCTCTCAAAGACAGTCTCTTGTGGTGTTACTGGAATCTGAAAATCTGTGAAATGCAAGTTCTTAATAGCGCTGCCTGATGTACCCTGGTGTGGGGTAAGTTATTGCTCTGCCAAGGCAGCACTGGAGTAGATACAGGGACAATTCTGGGAGGAGAATAAGAGTTATGTATCCAGCAGACAGTCTTTCCAGTGTCCTGATGCTCTGTAAAGGATTTTTAAGTGGTGATTAGCACGCTTCACATTTTTATGCTGTGTTTGCAYGAACTATGGTAAATTGCAAGCTGCACAAGTCCTACCAGCTGAAACACTGAATAAACACGCAAGAAGTCTTGTGCAGCATTAAAGTCACATGCAGTGTGAATCTGTACMGCCAGCACAACTCAGGATTTCTTTGTGCACAAACATTTCAGTTTACAGGATCGATTTAATCTCTCTCAGGAGAGAAACCAGGAGAATTCTTTTGGAGCAAGTAGAGTTCAGATGCTTTGGTCCAACTACTGTGATGAAAGCTGAGTGAATAGCCCAAAGGAAAAGCCCACTGACCTCTAGAACAGGAGATGCAGGTGAGGGCTGCTAAAAGTAGAAGCGGTGCTTTTTGAAAAACTTTCCTTTTCCTCATAGAACTTTGCTGAAAGTTGAAATTTGTTGTTGGGAAATGTAGTTCTCTTCCACAGCAACTTTTCTTCCTTCTCCCAATTTAAGATAACTGGCAAAATGGTAATTGCACAAAAGCCAAACCAAGCTCTCCTTGAAGGCTGGTTGTGACTTTAAGCCTCAGTTAAGGACACAGTTTCCAACAGATCACATG